TATAAACAAGTCTAAATTGAAAACAACGTTCAAACCTATGATTGCGTTGGATAAAAACCGCAATTTTTATACGTGTGCATGCAAAACAAATTTCTCCACAACATGTTTAAAACCACCACGTTTTGCACATTGTTGAAGCGTGATCTATAATTGCTAACAACCACGTCCTTTGGGTCTATGGTGGATAGATCTCATTGCCAATCATACCACATCTCCTTAATTTTATATGATAATATGTGATATCTATTTTGTTTGTAAGATGTTTGAGATTTAATTGATTTCATTCAAATCTGAGTCAATTAGTAAACCAAAAGAATAGCATTTTGTTACAAGATAGATACATTCTAACTCTACTCAGTACGACAAGAAAAGTGTTGGCTTTGAGTGGACTGCAATGCAATTTTTGTGCTCACCTTAGAATGATTTATTCATTCTCTTAAATTAAAAAAAGAAGCTAAAAAGAGAAAACATTGGTCATAAAAGCACTACCTTTATGCTAGAAAAATTAAATACATAATACTGTTTATTTTCTGTTACATTGTACAAAAATGTATTTCACGTGTGCTGAATAGTGATTAGATTTACTATTTTCGAAATTCTGAGCTCTAACATTTGTTTTCACTCTTTCATATGTCTAGCACATAGTAAATGCGCAGAAAAAGACTGTATTGTAAAAATATAGATGCTCCTGCAAGAATAATGTGACAGCTTTTTAATATCAACCTCGGACAACATGACGAAAAAAAAAAAAAGGATTAATTACATAATTATGTAAACTAGCATTCGACACTGAATCAAATATTCATTGTCTTATGTATTCAATTATGTCAAGAAACTTTACTTATTGTAAATTCTGTCAAACTAAAATCAGATGTAAATGTTTCGTATCACACATAAACTATAAACTAAAACTTCATCTTTTGATATTATGGACCTGGTCTCCAAAAATAAGTGTAATTGTAGTCCACACGGTATTAAAAAGGCCAAATGGTATACATACCACAAATAAATTGAGACAACCATTCTTCTCTCAATCTTTTGTTTATTATTTATTTAAAATCACACTACCAATCTACGATCCTTTGAACTGTGAAATTTGGAAGTTAAGATATAATCCTTGTTGCCATTTTGTTATCGGAGATCTAAATATTTAATTTGTCATAAAATACAACAAAAGAAATAGTTTACTTTGTACACATACTCAGTTCCATCCCGTGTACAAACTCAGTTTCATTCGTCGTATATATATATATATATATGTAATTGTTAACTTTTTACACCTTGTGACTTGGATGGAGTGTTGTCTCATTGGCATTCATACCACGTCTTCTTATTTCTAGTTAAATTCTATCATATCAAATTTAACTCAAAGTGTAGGGGTGGATTCTAAATTTATTTTCCTCATATAGACAGATCAGAAGATAGAAAAAAAAATTCTAAACTTTGATATGCCAACATTGATATAAATAAATTAAAATATCCTATGTGACACTTACAAAAGGCTGTTCACATTTTTCATGTCGGGGCCTTTTAAAGCTGATTAAATGGTATGGATTGTTCTCATTGCTTAAAGTCGTACGGTGGCTTATCATTGCTTACTACCATCTTATTTTAACTCTGGTGGATAGTAGTTTCATTGACAATCATACCTCATTTCCTTATTTGTATATGAACAACTTGCCACTGGACGTTAAAATTAACATTCTGACGTTTTTATTGAAAACAACAATTCCAATTCCTACTGGAAAACGTCTATTGTCAAAGACCGACAGGTTAAAACAATTAAAAGGGACTGAAATTTCAAACACTTCCTAATATAATTCAGTGGTTATAACAGGAATCATTGTCGACCCCTTTTTTTTCTTACTACAATCTAGGTAAAATCTGATTGATACAATGGATTATTTCTGTTAAACATTCCCATGAATCTCGTTGAATATGGTATTAAACATATCGAAAGTAACTTTATAAAAATCCGTTCATTCGAACCATATTAAGACTGAAAAACAAGTTAAGTAGTCTCGGAAACTGTTTAACGTATTTGTGATCGTTGAAAAAGTCGAACCAAATTATGTGTTTCCTGTGTTCTTTCGAATTGATAGCTTTTTAAAAACACATTTTTAAAAAAACCTTTCACCCTTTTTTATCATTATCCGTAAATAATAATTTATTTTAGTTTATGCATTTTAATATGTGTATCTTTATAAAACATTTATACACTTGTACATGTATGTGTTTTAAAAACACTTTTTACACAAATGTAACAACGTTTTTGTTACGGGAAAGTTTGATACAGTGCAACAGGTTCTGTTGCTGAAACTGGCGAAGATGCCGAAATGAAAGACAGTGACTGACGACTGGTCTCTTATCTATAAAACACAAACCCACTGGCGGAACTAACTCATAGAATTGTAGAACGAATACAAACGATGAATTTCTGTATGGATTTTTATTTTCTCTTCAAATGAACGGATGATGTCAGGTCAAACGGCTGACTCCGAATAAAGACTTAACAAATGTGACAACGTTGTTGTTACGGGATGTTTGATACAGTGCAACAGGTTCTGTTTGCTGAAACTGGCGAAGATGCCGAAACGAAAGACAGTGACCGACGACTGGTCCCCTGTATATAAAACACAAACCCACTGGCGGAACTAACTCACAGACTGGTAGAGCGAATACAAACGAGTTGCCAAAGAATTAAGATTACATAATGACCAAGTTGACAAATTTTACAAACAAAAAAAATTAGCACTTTAAAAGTAACAATTATAGACGATGACTGAAAAACGGATTAATGTCATTGTAATCATACATGTACTGAACAAGAACTGATAAACGGATATTGAAAAGAATTATCTAATATTTACCCTGTAAACATTAACGGATTAATAAAAGAAATGAAATAGTAGCATAAATAAACATAAGAGTTGTGTGCAATTTTTAGATCAAAAAGTAACACACATGAATAATATTTAAGAATGCAAATCAAAACACATTTATCTGTTGAATTTAGAATGAAATTGTCTGAAAAGATTAACAAAACTGTAGAAAATATTAGAAATAAGTCCGAATGTCCGAAATAAGAAAAACACAATTTGGTTCGACTTTTTCCACGATCACATTTATACTAGTTGACAAAACAGGCAACACTGTTTTGTTGTTTGATTTAAAAGTATATTATAAAAAGAGAGTACTGTAACACATTCTAGTATGTTCACAACTACTACTAGGTGTTACTCACGAAATGGTCGTAGCGGAGAACTTTTATCAACGGCTGTACTCAAACACCGTATACCGATCCGAAACCGCGGAAGGATCCGAATCCCGAGGAGCAATTAATGAAATGTTTGTAACGATGGGTAGGTAAAATATCGATCCGATTCCCACGGAGGAATTATGCTCCGTGGGAATCGGATCCAGAATTTAGCTACCCACCGTTAAAATGTTTTCATTAATAGACCATTTTCTTATTACCGACTTTTGATTTCGGATTATGTCATTTTCGACAGATTACCTAATTTGTGGTAGGACATCCTTGTACTCGGTCAACTAAGAGCAACCAAAAGAATTAAAATCAAATATATAATCGGTGCAATTGGGGGAGGGGGGGGGGGGTTTATTGTTTTCTGATGATTTTGTCGTGTATAGAAAACGTAAAACAGTTATTTTTTCCCCAAAATTGTACCGATTGAAAGCTTATTTTACTTCTTTACGTTGCTCTTACTTGACCGAGTACCAGGATGTCCTACCACAGAAAAGGTAACCTGGCGAAAAATTATAAAATCTGGAGTCAAAATTCGGCAATATGAAAAGAGTCTATTGCACCTCGGGTTTCGGATCCATCCGCAGATTTCCGATTGGGATACTTGGTGTGGTACTTAAAACACAGATTATGTTTCCTAGTAACTAGTGGCGTACAAGAAAACATGTAAATGTCGTTGTATATCTTCACCCAGAAAATGTTTTATTACTAAAATTTCTAATCTACGAATTGTTATCAATCAGTATTAGGAAACATACAATAATAGCGGTATTATCTATTTCTCCGATGTTTTAATTTTTTGAAGGCTTGAAAGATAAACTGCGTTTCTTTGAGCGTCAGTATACATGTATGTTTGTTGACTATAATGATTGCTCTACTCTGGATTTTTGTTGTTACAGTATATAGGTATAAGAAGATGTGGTATGAGTGCCAATGAGACAACTCTCCATCCAAGTCAAAATTTATAAAAGTAAACCATTATAGGTCAAAGTACGGTCTTCATCACGGAGCCTTGGCTCACACCGAACAGCAAGCTATAAAGGGCCCCAAAAATTACTAGACTGAGTGTAAAACCATTCAAACGGGAAAACCAACGGTCTAATCTATATAAAAAACGAGAAACGAGAAACACTTATGAACCACATCAACAAACGACAACTACTGAACATCAGATTCCTGACTTAGGACAGGTGCAAACAATTGCAGCGGATTTAAACGTTTTAAAGGTACCAAATCTTCACCCTTATCTGAAACAATAGTTTAACATCACAACATAGAAAGACACACTATAAAATATCAATTGAAATGGCTTAACTCAATCAAATAACATATTATTATTCCATTATCTCCCTGTTATAGAAATAGTCGAGATTAAAGAAAGGGAGGGATGAGTGTTAACAAGCTAGTTTTACCTTCCTTAGGCTAACGTGCCTGTCCAAAGTCCTTTTACATATCTTAATGCTTCTGCCATTTAAGTATAAATTAAATGTTGATCGAGTGTACATTTTTCACAACATTTAAAGAGTTGGGTCTATTCAGAATAATTTGGACGTATTGCACATTTAATTCTGTTTTTTATTGAATATTTAACCTCGATTTTTGTTTGGTTGTTGTCACTTTAACGTATACCATGAATAATGTAATACATGTATGCATGAGGTTCATAACACATTTACTGCATATCATACTACATGTACATGTACACATCGTTAGGAAGACGACTGTTTGCACAAAATCATATAGTTTTTTTTACACCTAGTCCTATATTTTATTATGTACATATGTTATGACGACATTTATAATCATATAAATTATGTTTTTCAGTTGTACATGTACATCATGCATTTCGTTTCACCAGCTTATGATAGAGTCCATAAAATGCTACAAAGCATTTAAAGCGATAAAATATCACAATTGGAAATAAAACGAAATAACATGTGACCCATACTTGCTTTCCATAAAGAAGAGTTGGAGCATCAGATGCAAATACTATTGTTGAAGAGAGAAATGAGTCCGTTCCCCAAATAATTAAATTATTCATCGACATGAAAAGACATGCGTATTCAATTGACATACAATTGGACACTGACGAATGTATTCTTTCATAGCTTTTCATTTGAAAAATAAAGACAGTTTGCAAGTAAACTCCAAAAATCATTATAACATAGCTGAATAACTTTATGCCATTCGCATTATCGCCGTGAAGCAGTTTTACATAGGCTACAAGTCGCATTGTATAATATACCAACGATCCAACGAAACTAACTAAAATCATGTAATCCTTAGCAACAAATTTGTAATTTTTTTCTCTGGGCATGCAATCAGTTTGTATCAGGTAAAAACACCTAAAAAGCACTAGTAATAAAACTGTCATTTCAGCGCTGTTGTAAATATTAAATGTCCTATCTACAGATGGATTTCCTGGTCCATATATTCGAAGTGAAAATAGAATTATACACGGAGTGTTTATCAGAACTGCAGATGCAATAACTATAAAAGCTAATGTTCTGTCACGTGGTTTATTTGGTACAAAATTAATTGAAATTTGTCGATTCATATGCTCGTTACTCTCGGAAAATATCAAACTCGTAGTTTCATCTTTATTCATACTATCGTAAACACATGAATATTTCCTTTCATCGTTATATCTCTTTGGCCATAGCTCAGACACAAATAGAATTGCCAGCAAGGAATATTCTAACACGGCTGGATCCATGTAGCTTTCCACACTCTGCATGACATGAACAGTAGTTGAATTGGTTAGGCAAATTAAGGATGAATTGGTAGTACTATTAACGCTATAGTCACGGACATCTTGTAGTTCGTGAACAAACTCAATAACTATTACCGAAATATTCGCAAGAAACAATATGAGTAAGCCATAATATGATCCAAGATTGTTAACGAACGAACGGCGCGAAAACTGTGTAAGAAATCCAGTTTGAACAAGTCGGAAGATAAAAAGCAAGCAATCACATACTATGCGCTCTCTTACGTTAAGTAAATCGAAATATCCTCTAAAGCAGTCAATATGATAAGCTAAATAAATGACACTATAGGTCATAGTTGCTAGTGTGAAAAGCCACAGAAATCTTAGCATGATTCTATGACTTATATCCCAGTCTTCCTTCGGGACTGTAACCTCGGGCTTTATAGATGCATAAATACTGAGGGACACACAAATAACAATTCCTAAACACGTGGTAACAGTCATTGTTGTTGTAAAAAGACTGTATGTACCATCAGAACATATAACTAAAGTCTCACAGAGAATAACTACAATGCCTACCAAGAAAACCAATCCGGATATGCTTCCATCATGGGAAATAAACCCGCTGATTTGATATTTACGAGGATGTCCTGCTGAAAACGGCAAGATAAATATAGCTCGTAGAAATCTTCTTAGCGTCAACATCTTTGTTTTCTTATCTGTAATATAAAAAAAAAAATCAAAAATCACTGTACTTGGCTTTGATACATACAAATTGACCGATAAAATATGTAGAAAACCTGTGATGTACTCACAGTTACTGAAAGCTAGTTCAAAGCAACTAACTCGGGTAAATAAATCATGTCCTCCGAGACATAAGTAGCAATCAGTACACACCCAAAGGATTTAGTGTAAAGACGCCATAAACATAACACGAAAAGCATGACCTTTTGCAATAATTCCAAAGTATAAGTGCATGAAATCGATCGGATAAAGGACTATAAGTTTGCATAACTGTTTAGCAATACATGTTTAGTTTGATTAATCAAAAACAAATCAATGTTAGTTCCAATTAAAACAATATTAAAACAATTTAACTATACGGTGTTAAAATGATTACCTATCAGAATAACTTTTTTCAAAGAATCAATGAGCTAACATGTATCGTATCTATATTTACGGACTCTAAAAACATCGTCACCGTAAAAATAAGGAGTGTGCAATTCCGTTTAAATAAGATTTCTACAGGTACAAAAATGTACAGTCAAACTTCTAAACCATGTTTTTAGTCTTATGTAATTAGTTCATCCCCGTCACATACTGTATGTGCCTGTCCCATGTTAGGAACATGTACGTAAGGAGTTATTGTTGGTTGCTGTCTATCATATTTGGATTTCGTTTATGATTAAATGTTGAATTTCTATTTTATAACTGATGCCCCTTTCACATACACGGATTTTTCGTACGAGTCCTTACGGATGCTTGCGATTGATTACTAGTTTGCGATCCGTAAGGACTCGTAAGAAAAAATCCGTGTATGAGATGGGGCATCAACGATTAGCAAAACCGCATAGTAAATTATGTCCCCTTCCTCGCATACACGGATCTTTCTTACGAGTCCTATAGATACATATACTTTACATGTTCTTACGTATTGTCTACGATTTCGGGAAAGGTATAAAATCTGCAAACTCGTAAGGACTCGTAAATATTCGTAACAACACGTAAACAGGCCACAACTAACACGTAAAAGTTTCAATGAATAGTTACATTTTTAATACTTATTCTCGTAACAAACCGTTAAAAGCTCGTAAAATTCCCGTATGTTTCTCGTAGTTATCCGTGACAACTCGTAACAAATCGTTGAATTTTGCCCAAAATACATCGTAATAACTTCTAATAATCCGTAATAAACCGTAAGTAGTTCGTTATAACTTGTAACAACTCTTAAATCGGTCATAAAAGTGGCTATATCGTAAGGATTCGTGAATTTGTGTGATCCGTCTGGACTCGTAAGAAAAATCCGTATGTGTGAAGGGACATGAAGGCTGTACGATGACCTATAATAGTTGCTTACATCCTTCTTTTGTTTTCTGGTGGATAGTTGTCTCACGGGCAAGCCTACTTGTACCAACTAATTATCCTTTTTTGTTATACTTTTTACATATTAATAAATTTAGATGGACGTTTAACAGCCATACATTGGACTAATTGACATTTTATCTCTTATAACGTTATATTTTTTTGGAACTCTTAGAAAAATTAATGATTTTTTTTTGTCAGATTTGATTACTGAATGTTACCGTCTGCTGGAAGTTTTAATTCTATGTATGAATGTACGATAGAATGTTAGGATAATGATGAAAATCGCATTTTGTAAATAAACATAAATTTAAGTGTATACGAGTGCAAACATAAGACGAATGATTGTGACTTACAATAAATTGCTAAATAAATTTTATTAAGACCAATATTTTATAATTATTTAATTTCATTTTGAAATCTCGAACTGAAGACAACTTCGAAATAGCAATCCAATTAGTTGCATATAAATAACCGAGACATAAATTTGTTTTTACTACTTGAATTAACAACTACGTCAAAATAAAATAGGGAAATCTGTAAGGTCTTAAAATGTTAATATTTATATCACGTTTGTTTATTTGTTTTGTATGCAATTTGCGTTTAAACAGTTCGTGATAAATGACTAAAATTATAATACGGCAACTTATGTGAATTTCGTTAGTTTTTAACTTCATAAAACTTACCGTTTATGTGAAATTATACGAAAAGACAGTCCTTAGCCCAAAAGCAGATGACATTTACTTTTTATAATGCAATACAGGGTAAGTACAAATCGTGATTTAAAATATAAAAGATAATTTCTTTTAAAAAAGAATACTTCCTGATTTGAACTTCCTTGATGCATATATTTACTTCAAGTGGTCTACATTGTACATGTATGTTCTAAATATAAGTTTACCTCTTATAAATTTATCACCTGACAGCTGTTTAGGAGTATGTTTAAATGTCCACAAAAAGTATTCCAGGTCGAGGTACGCGATTACAAAAACGTTTTTAGTTGGATTAAATTCCGTCGTCGTCAATTTTACATTTATGAGGAGGTCCCATTTATAAAAGTAGAAAAAAATATAACAATATTAATTAATAAACATTTTCAATTTCACTATACCGCGTTCAATATGTCCCAAGACAAGGACTACATTTGTCATATCTATTGTTTCTGTAAGAGATTTGGTATTGATCGTATGATTAATGCAAATTTTTGGTCACTCGTTAAATACTTTTGAACATTCAAATTCTTCCATTCGTATCTCATAATCATAATTGTTTCCCAGCATGATTAAGTATGTTAATGTAAAATTATTCGATGAATTAAGAAAGTATGATTGATTGATTGTAGTTTGCGTACCATCCAGTGGCCAATATTTCATACTTCAATATTCACGACATGCGAACAATTTAACAATTATTACGATAGGTACAAATGAATGTTCTGGATCTGTAAAGTGGGTCAAACAGGATGAAAGACAGTATAAAAATTGTTGGATAGGAGTAGAAATTTTGCTACACTATAGGCCATCGAGAAACCCTCAAATAGGCATTATAATGATTCTGTGACTCACAGAGAGCATGACACTTATCCTACTCGAGGTCTTACTGTCGGACATTAAAGCCCAGGTTGACAATACTTCTATACCGCAATCCAACCCAAGGTTCAGTAAGGAACGTATACAAAATAGTAAGATTAAAAATTAAAAAAATATCACTCGCTTGCCCTTATTTCTACAGAACAACAAAAATGTCAATGTAACAAACACTAAACAGTTTGCTATCACTATGCTAAGAATAAAGGTATAATGAATGAAAGTTTGACACAAAATAAAATAGGCACATCATCGTATGTGTACTCATCAAGTCAACGTCAGGCAGATATATAATATGATACACCTTTAAGTGATCAAATACTTTTAGAATACAATACAAAGTAAACATGTTTTACAGGATGCACGAATTAATATACTTCTATTTCAGGGAATGGGAGATCTTCATATCAGTGTCTGATTTTGCCAATTAATTGAATACATTTACTCAATGTACAATGTATCATCAAACGCTCAAATACTATTGTAGAAAACTTTAAGTGTGGTTTATAAAATCAATACTAACACTAACTCATGTTTTAGGCGAAAAACATAATTATAATTTTACAAGCATTGAGACATTTATGTACTTTACTTGATTTATGTCAAGTGATGGGCGGGGCTTAACGGATCCGCTAATCATATACCAGTCTATCTATTATAGAACGGTGTTTTGTATAAACCCATCAACGAAGTGTCCTGTTATGGTCGTTAAATGATCGGTTGAAATATGTAAACACTATAATTATGTTTAATCGTAAAGTGGATAATGGGACACAGCTGTTGACGTTCTTGTAAAACGGGGTTTTAAAACATGTAAACAAATTGTCAATCTTTGAAAATTGTGGAATATGATGATATCAGTACACATCCTACAATTAAATCAAACCACTAAAGTCGACCATCAACACATAGATCGTTACTGTACTAAATAATACATTAGATGTTGTATGTGATCGACGAACAAAACTAATGATGAGTATAACAAAACTAATGATGAGTATAACAAAACTGAATAGAAAAGACGATAAAGACGGCGGGTCAATTAAAGTATTATAATTATAGTAAGTGTTCACGGGTTGTTGTTGATGTAGTGCCATTCTATGTATCTATGCTAATCAATGTTCTTTTTTCTTATACATGTATTCTCTATATGCCCCTTGTGGGTCCTTAATTGGTAATAAAATATGTTCTTGTTCTTCTTGTTATTGTAAAAGTTGTTCTATAGCAAATTACAAGGTATCAATTATAACCCATTGTTTAAGACCGTATATTGACCTGTAGATGTTTACATTCCTGTCATTTGACCTTTTGATGGACAGTTATTCTGACTGGCGATCACACAACAGAGCCTTATAAAGATACAAGACTAGTTTAAACAAGACATAAAAGGGCAGATACTTTACACGGAGGAAGACATGACATTTATATTAACGACTGACAAAAAAAAAGACAGCTGCAGTAGTCTAAAATATGTTTTCTTGCAAACAATCTTGCAATGGACCGCTGAAAAAGTAGGTCATTTACTTTTAGATCTCAGACGTCCCATGAGACACATTCTACAATTATTTATATCAGGGATAGTATCTCCCGCGCAATACACACACACACACACACACACACACACACACACACACACACACACACACACACATATGAATGATTTTTATCAACTTGAAAATACGAACATGAAAATCAGGAAGAAATAGGTGATGATAGGTTCCTCACAACATAACATATCGCTTTTTTATTTTAATAAACACAAATATGAGATCCAATGTCTTTACATCAATGAATGCTCGAAGTATATTGTTTACATTATGAATTTGGTGTTCAACAATTATATGTTAAAAACATATATAAAACTTTCAGTAAACTTATTTGTACTTTTAAAAAATTGCAGACCAGATATAAAATTATTTGAAAAATGAACACTGACACTTTCATATCTGCATTTATTTCCTTTTTCTAGGAAGAAAATGATCTAACTAGTCATCAATAGTATCATTAAAGTTTCCATTGAGCATTAAGGAAGACTTTCACTACAAAACCCATTCAAAAACTGTCATATATTGACAGGAAGTATTTACGAAATCCAAATGTAGTTTAATAACTGATACGATCGATTAAATTACAGTTCAGTTCTGCACCGACTATGTAACACAATAAATAGAAATAATCTGTAAGTAGTCTCTATATTTACCTTTTTTGTATGACATTCTTATCATCACGTCTATTTATAACCATATGGAATCTGAGATGGGTATCTATTTTACAATGTAACTCAATTTAAAAATCGTAAAAAGAAGAAAAGAAGATAGATCACTTTATTATGACAGTCATTATTTGCTGTATCAAGTATTTATATAACATCCAGTTAGAAAGAAACTTTTCCACGATATTTAAGCCTGCTAGGACGATATGAGTTATGGATATTTCTTTGTATTAGACTGAAACTATTGATGCAGCTTTTTAGCATTCTTGCGAACACATGAATACATTGTAGGAGTAGGAATACTAGTTAACAGAGAGAGAGAGAGAGAGAGAGAGAGAGAGAGAGAGAGAGAGAGGTATTATTAGTATGTTATATGTAAATGATACTATAATTTATTATTTTATTTTTAGAAGTTATTATATCAGAAATGACTCCTTTTAAAAAACTGTTCAGAGCAATTTTTGTGCTGCCATTTTCTGCTGGAGACCCAAAGAATCAGTATCTAGGTGGAATAGTCACTCATGATGGAAGTATTTCTGGTGTAGTGTTTCTTGTTAGTGTAGTTGTTATTCTTTGTGAAATGTTATTGATTGGATCATTTGGTACTGAGAAAGATTCTACGTTTCTATTTGTGCTAACCATGGAAGTGACCTCTGGTCTGGCTATATTGATTTGCATAATTCTGTTAATCTATGCATCATTGAAACCAGGTATACTCAAAGAAAACGATTGCTGGGATGTTAGTAACAAAATCATGATGAAATTTTTATGGCTATTTACCTTTGCTAGTTTGACATATAGTGGTATTTTCATTGCATACCATGCTGACTGTCTTATAAACAACTACCCACTCGACCATGTCAAAAATCGTATTCTTTGCGACGTTTTTCTCTTCACCTATAGATCAGTCCAAACAGGATTTTTAACATACTTTTCGCAACGAGTGTTTGTGAGTAAACTCAGATTCTATTACGGATTACTTGTCTTATTTTTAATTAACATAACAGTTATTGTCATAGATTTTGCTCACTCGATCCGTGACGTTAAAGACTTCAGTATAAATGACACACAAATCGCAAAACCAAACACATGTGCTAGCAATTCTTCTATTAGCACAATTTTGCGTAGTGTAAAGAATTTCCTGGAACCCGCTGAGCTTGAATATTCTTTATTGACTATTCTATTTATTACACAGCTATGGCCAAGGAAGAAAACAATTTCTAACAACAGCAATCCACTGTGTATAATTCGCGACAGTGTTACTGATGGGGAATATGAACCCTTAGTCTGTGTAAATGAGGATGTAGCAATTTATGATAACATTCCATGTAGTGCGAATTCCGAAAAACCTAAACGCATGACTATGATATTCGCAAATATTGCATTTCCCGTGCTTATTTCAATACCAAGCACTATTTTACTTATTATCAAAATCTACGCTTCAAAAGATGAATTGGTAGAAAACGCATTAAACATCTTTAACGGATTTCAAGTGACAATACTTCTGTTTGTTTTAGTCAAATGTTATTACTTACTCCAGTCAGACTGCAAACCGACAAAAGTGGAAAGCCATTTTACCTCTAAAGACTATCTTATTCTTGTCAGTTTTGTTGGATCGTTAAGTTTATACTTAATGAGATTAATCTCATACATTTTACTCGTACATACAGATAATCAAAATCCAACTAAAACATATACTTATGTTATTACGATTATGGGTATTTATTTGCAGATAGTTTTCTTATTCCAAATGAAAAACTATGGAAAGGGAAAAATCCAGTCATCATGTATATCAATAGAGTATACTTGCCTGTTTATGTCCGTAGTCAACTTTATGATCTGGGCGGAAGATTCTTTTATAGCCGCCAGGTGGGTATTTCGCGATGACGCGCCTACGCTTTTCTATGGTAACAATGTGTGGGTGACATATTTTACTCTGCTTTTTCCTTTTGTTATATTTTACCGTTTTAAATGTTTTGTTGCATTTTATGGCTTGTATCACAGACTGTCAAATGAAATTTAAAGTGAAATGAAAACTTTAAGTTAGTTTTGTTACATATAATTTAATTACAAAGTTTAACATGACATAATGAAATAATACGAAGAGGGATGATCAATTTCTGTATAATGATCGTCTGTTTGCTGCTGCCATCACTGTCATTTTATTGAAATACTACTTGAGGGAAACACGATCCAAATAAAACAAATATTCACAAGACATTAGATGAAAGGAAGATATACGATGAACGCTAATAATTTCCTCCTAATATAGCAAACATACCCACTGCCATTTAATTATGCAATCCTTTGACAAATGGGTCTATTTTATTGATAACTCTTTATATTGGTTAGTATATTGCATTTGTTTACGTCACTGTGACATTTTATAATTAATACGCTTATTTGATTAAAATAGTTTCTCAATTTCAGAATTTGTTTTGTTAGAATTGTGAGCAACTGGCTTACACTTAAAGATATTTGACTCAAATCACATTTGTACGAATATAAAAATAAGGAAATATGGTATGATTATGCTCAACTCTATATAAATGGCAATATTTCCAAATGAGCGATTTCGGAACTTTTGCAGTCTTTTCCCGTTTAGTTGTTCACCCAATTTTGTCAATAAAACGGAACTATAAATAAGTGTCATATACAAGTGAGTGGTTTAGCTAGCTATAAAACCAGGTTTAATCCACAATTTTCTTTGGAAAATGCCTAAACCAAGTCAGGAATATAGCAGATGTTTTTCACTTGTTCCGTTGATTGATAGCGTTTGATTTTGTCAGTTTTTATGGACTCCCCCTTTTTGAAAATGCCTTGGAGTTTGGTATTTTTGTTATCCTTTTTGGATGCGAAAAGTTTGAAGTCTGTTAAAACATCTTAACCTGTATTTGACAGAATAGTGATTCATGAACATGCAAATGCTGCTACTATATATATATATATATTGATTTGTGGTGGGTTTTTTTTATTTCTAATTCAAGGTGCAACAATAAATCCGACCATATCATATCTTCTTCTTTGGAAGAAAGCCCATAAAACTATCGCTTGAATTTAAAGCAAACAAATTAATTTTGTATTGTTAACGAAAAGAAAAGAAAAATGACCGAACCATAATCTAAAAAAAAGCAAAGACCATTAAACAGACAGCATAGGAATTTTAATACTAGGATCTGATATAATATCACATGAGACAACTGTCATCTAAAATACAAAAAATGATTATGTACATGTACAAGTCAAATGACGACCTTTAAGAATGGAAGAAGTCTGATATCGTAACCTAGGCTAGTATATGGGAGGCCTTGTTTTCTATATACATGTACCATCATCACATTTATGTATTTCTATACGTGTCTAGATGCGCGTGGTGTATTTACACACTTGGAAAACAAAATGTTTTTAAGATGCCACCACGACGTCACTCGTACTCCGGTTTTTTCTAAACGTTTTCTTGCCTAATCTGGCCATTTGAAGTTGGTAATCAAAGTAACTCCGGAGCCCAGTATAGATTGTCGAGAGAAGAAAATATGTTATTAGGAAAGAGTACATTTTTGTAACATAACGTATGCAATTTTGGCTATCTAGAAAAGAGAAGTTCCAGTCATTAAAAAGTATCTGTGGTTGGAGGGAATGTTTATACAGCTGAATACATTTTACAGTTAAATAATTCGAGTATCATTCTTTTAATTTGGTAGATTCACAATTCAAACTTCCAAAAATATGTCGAATGTTACAAATATGCCATTAGAATATGACTCTGTTTGAAAGATGTTTCTAATTCTACTGTTAACCTTAAATAAATTAAATAAATAAATAAATTGTTATCAAAAGTAAGTATCAATTGACTAATATTCTGAATAGTATGGCATCCTGACCCAGCTGCATTTGTTTGCACCTGTCCTAAGTCAGGAACCTGATGTTCAGTGATTGTCGTTTGTTGTTGTGGTTCATAAGTGTTTCTTGTTTCTCGTTTTTTTATATAGATTAGACCGTTGGTTTTCCTGTTTGAATGGTTTTACACTAGTCATATTTGAGGCCCTTTATAGCTTGCTGTTCGGTGTGAGCCAAGGCTCCGTGTTGAAGGCCGTACTTTGACCTATAATGGTTTACTTTCACAAATTGTGACTTGGATGGAGAGTTGTCTCATTGGCACTCATACAACCTCTTCTTATATCTACCAACTCCCTCTCAGCGCCAGGAAGATCAGGCGTAATACCGTCCATGTGACCACTTTTCAATGCTGAACAGGACTGATCTACTGCGCATGTGCGTGTTATATAAACAATGAATATACGAAACGTCAACAAACGTTCCTGTAATAAAGGTTCTTCAAGTAGACCAGGTTACATCGAGGTTACCCTAATATTCCTTATATTATAAATCTGGTGTTTTACAGTTATACATGTATGTTAATACATATCTGAAAACTGACAGTAAACTTGCTTGTACTTCACATGTATGAAAATTCCAGACGAGATACAAAAAAATATTTGAAAAATGAACATTAATTTGCACTGTTATTTCTGTATTAAGTGGAGTTTCCTTTGTTTAGGTAAAAAATAAATTAACCAGCCAACAATGACATGATTAAAGTTTCGATTAAGCATTAAGGAAGAAATTCATTATTTAACCCATTCAAAAGTTGTCACATATTAACAGGAAGTATTTACGAATCCAAATATAGTTGAATAATTGATACGATCGTTAATAGTGCATATCAGTATTAACACTGCCTATATATGTCTATTGGAAAACTGTTTTAAGTCAATACCACCATTTAAAGAAAACATCAGTAAGTAGTCTCTATATTTACTTAATTTGTATGATAATCTTCACATGAAGTCTGTGTATAGAGTCTGGAATGTGTATCTGATTTTCAATGTAACGAAATTTAAAATCATAAAAGATAAAAGCAGGAACTCGTAGATGGGTGGGTGTTTAATACATCACCGGAACATGATCATATTAAAGGTTTCTTTATTATAGAAAACATTCATTTGTTACGGTATCAAACATTTATGTAGCGTCTGGTAAGCATGTAATTTTCATTTCTATTAAAACCTGTCAATACGATAATTATGTGACTACTTCGACTACTCGTGGCCCCGACATGACAAAATGTGAATCAATTCAAACGAGAAAACTAACGGCCTAATTCATACCAAAATAATAGACGAAAAAAAAACATGACAGACATGAACCAAAGATACCCATTGAATTACAGGCTCCTTACTTGAGACAAGCACATAAAGAATGTTGCGGGGTTATACATATTTGTGAGTATTCAATCGTCCCCCCTAACCTCGGTAAATGGTGTAACAGCACAACAAAAAAACAAAGTATAAAATCAGTTCCAATTGGCTTAACTTAAAAGAACGGAACGAGGATCATAAAAACAATAGACACAAAGCACCGAAATAAGAGTATGCGACGTTACTGAAATTAAGTTCAAAGCCAATTAAAACTAATACATATATCATGTTCTCTCAGACTTAGGTATCAATCAGTACACATCCAACTGATTTAGTGCAAATACATCATCAACAGTGTGAAAAATGCATGACCTGTATATAAGCGAACACATTACCACTTTGCAGAAATACCTGTCAGCAGAGAGAGAGAGAGAGAGAGAGAGAGAGAGAGAGAGAGAGAGAGGGAGATTATAAATATTTTAAATGCAAATGATCATGTGGTTTATTTGTTTTTATTTTAAGAAGTTAATATCAGAAATGACTCCTTTCAAAAGACTGTTCAGAGCTATTTTTGTGCTGCCATTTTCTGCTGGAGACCCAAAGAATCAGTACCTAAATGGAGTAGTCACTCATGATGGAAGTGTGTCTGGTGTAGTGTTTCTTGTTAGTGTAGTTGTTATTCTTTGTGAAATATTATTAATTGGATCATTTGGTACAGAGCAGGATTCTACTTTTCTATTTGTACTAACGATGGAAGTTACCTCTGGCCTTGCTATATTGATTTGCATAATTCTGTTAATTTATGCATCATTGAAACCAGATATACTAGAGGTAAACGATTGCTGGGATGTTAGTAACAACATTATGATGAGGTTTCTGTGGCTGTTTACTTTAGCTTGTTTGTCATACAGTTGTATTTTCATTGCATACCATGTTGACTGTCTTATAAATAACTATCCAATCGACGATATCCAAAATCGTATTCTTTGCGACGTTTTTTTATTCACTTACAGATTAGTCCAAACAGGATTTTTAACATACTTTTCACAAAGAGTGTTTGTGAGTAAACTCAGATTTTATTACGGATTACTTGTCTTATTTTTAATTAACATAACAGTAATTGTCATAGACTTTGCGCACTCGGTCCGTGACGTCAAAGACTTTACCATAAATGCAACACAAATTGCAAAACCAAATACATGTGCAAGCAATTCCTCTATTAGTTCAATCTTGCGTAAGGTAGAAGATTTCTTGGAACCCGCTGGACTTGAATATTCTCTATTGACTATTTTATTCATAACACAACTATGGCCGAAGAAGAAAACAATTTCTAAAAACAGCAATCCACCGTCTTACATTCGAGATAGTGTAAATGCTGGGGAATATGAACCGTTAGTCTGTAGAAATGAGAACGAATCCATTTATGATCAAATTCCAAAAAATACGAATTCCGAAAATCATAAACGGAGGACTTGGATATTTGCAAATATTGCGTTTCCCGTTCTTATTTCAATACCAAGCACTATTTATCTGATTCTGAAAATCAACGCTTCAAAAGATGAATCAATAGAAAACGGATTAAACATCTTTAACGGATTTCAAGTGACAATACTTTTGTTTGTTTTAGTCAAATGTTTTTACTTACTCCAGTCGGAATGCAAACCGACCAAAGAGGAAAGCCATTTTACATCTAAAGACTATCTTATTCTTGTCAGTTTTGTTGGATCGTTAAGTTTATATACAATGAGATTAATTCCATACATATTACTCGTACATACAGATACTCAAAATCCAGCTAAAACATATACTTATGTTATCACGATTATGGGTATTTATTTTCAAACTGTTTTCCTATTCCAAATGAAAAACTATGGAAAGGGGGAAATCCAGTCATCGTGGATATCAATAGAGTATACTTGCCTGTTTATGTCCGTAGTCAACTTTATGATCTGGGCAGAGGATTCATTTATAGCCGCCCAGTGGGTTTTTGCAAATGACGCGCCTACCATTTTCTATGGTAAAATGGTATGGGTAACATATTTTACTTTGCTTTTCCCTTTTGTTATTTTTTACCGATTTAAATGTTTCGTGGCATTTTATGGCTTGTATCACAGACTGTCAAACTAAGAGTTAAAATTAAATTAAAGTACCAAGTGTTATTACATTAAATGTAATTGTTGATATGAATTATTGCAATAATACAAACTGAGGTAATCTTTATCCGCACTATGGATATCCGATGGTCGCCGCCAGAACCTCCATTTTATAAAACTTTTAATATACGGATAAACGATCCTAAAAAATAAATATTATTGCACAAAAGTACGATGAAAGGTAATATTTTGCTCTTATATTGCAAAACACGCAGTAAGATAAGTCAATCCTTTCAAAGCTGTGCCTATGTGATTGATTACACTTTAGATGAGTTAACATTAGTGTGGTGCATTTTTGTATGTGACTGTGACTTCATCATCATTTCATAATTAATAAACATATTTGAATGAAACATTTATCGTACGTTTCTTATGTTAATTTTGGTAAAATTATGACCACCAGTCTGACAATGTACACTAAAGGATAGTTGACTCAAATCAAATTTGAACGAGACATGATATATTACAATGTAGTTAGTTTATTTTTTGCTAAAGCGCATCTCTATATAAATGGCAATATCTTAAATACTAGTAAGTGAAATTCGCGAATTTGCGAATCTCGTTAGATGTGAGAAGTTGAAATCTTACATCATTACTTGTATTTGACAGAATATTGATTCATGAATATGCAAATGCTGCTACTAGATATATTCATAGAGCTTCGTGGTTTATTTTAACTTCAAGTGGCAAACACAAATGACAGAAGTTAATCTAACGAAAGAAAAAAAACAATTAAACGGAAAACATAGTGATTTCAATATCTTATATGATTGCAAATGAGATTACTGTCTTCCAAAACACGAAAATGATTATGTAAATGTCATTGAACGACCTTTAAGAATGAAAAAATGAACGAAGTTTTATATCGTAACACACGCTATTGTTGGAAAGGTAACTTCGTTTTACTATATATTACATGCTTGGTATTTATGTATGTATACATGTATGTGTGTTTATGTGCGTATATTAAAAACTTTCAACCAAAATGTCTTTATGGTGCAAATATCCTCACAAATACTCCGCTCTTTTCCACGCGTTTTCGTGGCTCATTTGGCCATGTAGAGCTGTATGAGCTGTCGCTATAACTTGGTGTCCTTTGTCGTCTTATATGAACATTTTCAAATGATTTCGTCTGGGTTTTTTTTTTTTTTAAATAATCTGGTTTCTATTTTGACAAAAAAAAATAATCTGTCCTATTCAGATGCTAAAAAAAATATTCTGGCTTCATCTTCAGCAAGTATGACATGTATGATGTATTTGATGAAAATATTCTTGCTTTGGATTGACTGAAAAAAAGTATTCTTGCTCGGTTTGCATGATAATAAAATTCTGGCTTGATATAAAAACCCAGCCCCGTCCCCCCAGAAAGTCAAATGGTCCATGCCTAACTCCTCCTGTTTTGATAGGGTTCGTGCAGATCAATCTTCAGTTTTAGTGAAATATTTTATGAACTCTAATTGGTCTTTTGGTCATTTGTTTTCTTTTTAGCCAATGTGTTTTCTGTTTTATGGTTCATCCCATGGTTGGTGATGCATGCATTGCAATGCAGGAGACGCTTCCCCTGTCCACATGCGATGTCTCGGTTCTCTTGGAGTTCATGCGATTGTCGGAGTTGTTTTTATTTAATTTGCGATATTTAAAATTTCGACTTATGGCTTTTGGTTGTCTTTTGGTATCTTCTCCCCCTTTTTCAATTGTTTAAAAAAATATCAGTAAAACTTTAAATTAAACATGCGTAAACTTCTGTTTTATTCCAAACTTTTAACTAACTTTGTTCATTGATTTTGTTTTACATGTGACAGCTTCACATAACAACGATACATCAAAAGCTGCAAATTGATTAAACTTTATTTGACTACATTCATACGCACATAAAGTATTCATTAAGTAAAGACAAACATGTGTTTCAATGAACAAAGTATGTATGCGTAGGTAATTTATAAAGCATAGTGACTAATAAGTCGTAGTTAACAATATTGAGTCCACGCCGACCGCTTCATCGTATACGACAGTTTGAAAAAACAAATAATATGCGTAATCTATGTTTTAGTAGTAAATTATCAAGTCAGGGATTTCGTTACCACAAACTACTTAAAACTACATTCTTAGATGGATACAAGGATTTGGTTTGCAAGTTTGGCTGTACCTCTACCGAGCCCGGAAATTTAGATACGATCCGGGTAAACTTATTAATCCTTTACATAAACTTATAATTCTAAAAGGTTACCTATTCAACACTGTAATTAAATCTTTGAATATTGTTTTTATTGGTATAAATATTGATTTTGTTATCAGTAAATTAAAACCATACTAAATATTACACATATGCACTTTCACGGTACTACAATCTGTCGGTACTTATATTTTGGCATTGCACAAGGTCATGTTTTTTTCTCTGAGTGTTAATTACGTCTTTACACTAAATCCATTGGATGTTGGATGTGTACTGATTGATATTTTAGTCTTAGATACACGAATTTTTTTTATTAGTTGTTATTGACCAGCTGTCATTAACTGCGAGTACTCGCAGATCTGTTCTTAGTGTCTTTTTTGTTGTTATGGATGAGGGATGGATATATACCCTGCCACATCCTGTCTGTGTTTCTGTTTAATGTTTTTCTTTTATCGATCTGATGAGTTAAGCCTTTCTCAACTGATTTTTATAGTTTGTTCTTATGTTGTGCTGTTACACCACTGCCCACGGATAGGGGGATGGTTGAGCGCTCACAAACATATTTAATCCTACCACATTCTGCATGTGCTTGTTCCAAGTCAGGAGCCTGTAGTTCAGTAGTTATCGTTGGTTCATGTCTGTCATATTTGTTTTTCGTAAATTGTTTTTTTTTTTTAAATTAGATAGGCTGCTAGTTTTTTCAATTGAGATTTCATTTCATATTTTCATTTCGGGGCCTTTTATTACCGACTATACGGTTTTTCTCATTGTTGAAGGCCGTAGGGTTGCATATAATTGCTTACATCCACTTCATTTGAACTTTGATGGATAGTTGTCTCATTGGCAATCATACCACATCTCCCTATTTTTATATTGTTTACCGAAAACGAACATATTTTGACTACGTTCATACGCACTTAAAGTATTCATTAAGTAAAAACAAACATGTGTTTCAATGAACATAGCATGCATGTGTAGATAATTTATAAAGCACATTGACTAATAAGTCGTACATGTAGTTAACAAGTTAATAAGTGCACATGACTAATAAAAATAGCACACTATGGGTCTGAAAACGTGTAGGCAATAATCTGATAAATCAAATGACTATTTCCTGAAAGTATTATTAAAATGTATCCAACATGATTGTGAAACATTTTCTTTCCTGTCTGTCTGTCTGTCTGTCTGTCTGTCTGTAACAAAAGTTTGTCAACGCAATGTGTCAAGCAATTTACATAGGAATTAAACAAAACTTTATAAACATTTACTTTATACTATGTGTTGTTGTGCGCTTCTGTTTTTTTTTTATCAGATTTATGTTTGGTGTATCACATTGACGTTGCGCACGATGTTGGTACCAATTCCATTTTGCTATAGATTAGCATGAAAATAAATACGTAGACTGGTCAGTTCGATAAAAAATATAGTGATTTCTGGTTGAATTTATTACATTAGACTTGAAAATATAGAAAAAAGGAACCGAAATTTAAAATATCAAGAATTATAACACTTAATTATCCCATTTTTACGCAAAAACGTAATGTCCAACGTTACATTTTGTGTGCAAACGATCGGAGCTCCGTTTCTTTCCTACGGTATTTTTTTTTTTTTTGATAATCGTAAAACTTCACAAGAGTATTGCTATTGTTATTGTTATTCGCGTGTTAAAGCAAAATCAATATCACTGAAAGCGTAAACCGGAAAATGTTATTTTTGAAACCGGTCTGAAAAATGTCCAAGCATATGCAAGGTAAGCATATATCGGGTTTGCGCTTTTATACCGTGAAATTGGAAAAGCTGAGAGGGAAAATATTTATGATATTTTGAAAGTTTTTTTACTTTTCTCCTGGTTCATGATATTTATTTGCCGGAAACCATGCGTATAGTTTCTATTGCAATGACTTCAAAAAGTATAGCCATCTTGTCCCAACGAAAAAAACGCTGTATTTTCTGTACAATTGAGGTTTTAACCGGCTGTATATTACATAAGCATAGTTAGATCATAGAAAATAAAACTAGGCAGTAAAAGTTTTTTTCTTTTTCTTTTTAAACAATATAGTGTTTAACATTTTTTCGATTGGCAACAAGATTTTTAGATCGTTTCAAAAAGTATAGACGTTTTGTCCCAACGTTCGCAAAACGTAATTGATGTCATGCTCGGGTTTTTAATTTTATATCATAATTATTTGTTTCCAGTTTAATTCGAATGAAAATAAAAATATAAGTTATAATATAACCAATGTATGATAAAGGTAAAGTTTAAGTTTAACATCAAATGTTGACCAAATGAGATTGGTATAAAAAATATCGGGATCTTAGTTTTTTTTCAGCACATTCATGACATTTGTTTTATTCAAGGAACGTTGTCTATCTGCAAGTTTTTAAAAATCATCAAAAGCAACATGCATATTTTTTTTGTTAATAAAATAAAATAGAGAAAAACTATTGCTGGCAATTATAACAAAACAAAAGATATGCATATGCCACAAAAATACGGAAATGAGAAAAACATGAATCCAAAATGTTTAATTATCTAGAAATTTTGCGACATAGAAAGCATCGGGAAATGATAAAATATAGAAAGGAAACGGAAACGGAAGGAAATGCAACAAAAGGAGTATGTATAAACATGCATTAAAAGGGAAAATAGATTCAAAATCTAATTTATATTTAAAACAAATCTGTATAAATTTGGAAATTAATGTATGATTCATTAATGCGAACTGCTGCCAAAAGTAAAATTATCAATTATGGCCTGGAAAGACTGACAACTCCTATAAATGAATATTCATTAACAAAAATATGTGTACGACCTTTTTGATTTTTATTTGTTAAACTAAATTTACAGAAATCGGTTATCAAATTCACAACAGTAAATTGACCTCATCAATTATAAGCTTAAACGCTTGAAACATTCTTCGAAATCGTCGAAATCGCTTCATTATGAGGAACGTCGTGTAACGCTAAGTAGTACCAACATCGTGCGTAACGTCATTGCGAAACATCATCTTTTAAATTTCTACCTTTTGAGAAAGGTCTGTAACTCATTATCTAACATTTAACATTTGACTAAAATGAAAGTGGACTGATTTTTTACACCGTGTGACGCTTTGCCACATTGCAATTCGTTTTTGCAAATTGATTAAACATTAAATTTCTATAAAATAATGCATGACATAT